ACATAGCCAGATAACTTGTGCTTTTCCCTGCCTGTTCTTCCTAGGTGATGTTAGAGATTGTTGCTGGTGAGACAGGACAGAGGCATACAATCTTTGGTGCCAGCCACAACCAGAAAAACAGTTTGGGATGCAAGGATGCTCTTAGGATATTGGCTGATATATGTAGCTCCCCCATTTGAAAAGCTTTCTCTCAGGAAAGGAAATTTCTTCCTGACTTTAAAAAGGAGTGAAGGAGCCATAAATTCAGGTGTATATTTCTAGTTCTGTTCATGGGTCTGCATGATACTAAATATGGATTTAATCTCTGCTGATAGCTGCTAAATCATCACATAAGAGTGATATATTATTGTTCATTATCTAAAGGCCTTAGATTCTGCAGGTTGCTCCTGTTAATGCCAGTGTTGGATAGTGTTTGAAATTTCTGACAGGTTCCTCCTTACAAACTAAACTGCTTTACGAAGGAAGGCAAGTATTTTAAAAATAGGCCTTATTTAGTAGGCTTTCTCCTCCATTTTCACAAATGCATTTGCTATAAAATGTAGGTAGGCAGGAGAAATCTCTAAATCTAAGAAACAGCCTGGGATGGGTTCTCTTCTCCCTTGAATCTGTCCCTAATGATCATAAATGTAAAGTAGCTATAAATCCATCGTCACATCTGCAGCTTGCGAGCTGTGAGCAGCACATGAAAATGTGTTAGTGAATGAATCACATAGATCCTTTCAGCATGAAAGAGGCACTGTGGCAGAAGAGGAAAACCTGGTTTGCTTTTCCTGGCCAGGCTCAGGAAATGAGGGTGAGTTCTGAGAGCTGCAGATTGCAGCAGTCAAAGCTAAGCAGTGCCCTGCAGGAAAGTACGTGGTGTATGGGACTTAGGGGCACTTTTTTTATTTCTCAAGTTGTGTTACTTTTCTAACCTTTTGTTGAAATATTTGGCAAATATTCCAAAATTCTTCTGACATCCAGCTGAATTATCAGTATTGTACCTGCAAGGCTGATTAGGTACTAAATTTATCCTTGGCTTTGTGATCACTACAGCCTGATGCTATTTGGAATTAGAGGAAGTGATTCAGGGTTTTAATGCAAAGTCCTCCCAGTTGCTTTCTCGGTATCCTCTCTTTTGTTTGAGAGCCTCATCAGAATGTCCTCAAACCAGCACCTTTTAATCCCTGTTTTCTTTCATTTCAGGTTGCATTTGACCTTTAAAGTCATTGCAATCTGAGTTTAGTTTTTCACACCCATTTTTTGACTTCTTAACTTCAGTTGCTATTCCTGATTTGTGAACTTTGCACAATTACAAGAGCAATGTGTATGTGTCTTATCTATAGCAAATAACAAGCAAAGCGCTGAACAGTTCTAGTTCTGGAGCCAAGTGGAGATAAGATAGCTGAGGCATGGAGGTTGGGGTGGTAGGACTAGCACAGTCAAGCTGTAACTGGTCCCTGCGGGTCCTAATCCTGAAGGGGTTTGCAGGAGATTTTTGAGGGGATCTTGAAGGTTTAGAGAAGTAGTTATTTTTTAATTGACTTTCTGTTTAAAGGAGAAGAGAGAGGGAAAGCTCAACCAGAACAGTTAAGCTGTTCTAATGACTTGGTCTTTATACTGACAGCAGCTCATTTTCCCCAGAGTGAGAACATGGATACAGGCAGGAGGTCATTAGGACTGGTTCTCTCTGCCCTGCTGGGAGGAGCTGGCCTGCTCATGGACACTTGGCAGTTCACAGCTGGAAGAACTTTACCATCAAATGACATGCCTTCTGGATCTAAGTCCAGAAGGGGAGCATTCATGGATGGAAGTTGAAGAAACTGCAATAGCACATGAAGGCTGCTGAGGTCATGGCTCTGTTAACTAAACATAGCTGGAAATACCCCCATAAAACAGCATGCCAATGAATATGTTGACTTGTTGGACCCAACTGTCTCATCCAGAACACTTCTGTTCAGGGAGCTGGTAGTGGACTCTGAGGCAGCCTTTCTGCAGTGCTCCCCCTGTGCTCCTAGCCAGGCAGATCAGTCTCTGGGGCAGGCCCATAGCAGAGAATCATTTTGTAGGGTAGGACCTGTGAGTGATGCTGGAATAGGCAGCCATGTCAGAGTCTCCATGCTGATGGTGAGACAGTGATGTGATGGCACCAGGGAGCTGCAGAGGTGAACGTAAGCATGCAGTTTAGTCACACGCTTCCTCTGCATATCCCCTCCTAACACAGGCTCTGGGGATGAAGGACTGGGAAAATTGTATCATTATTCTGGTTGGCTTCCCTTTCCTCTATAGTGCTTCCCTGTCAAATCGATTACACCTAACTCCTTGTGATTTAGGAAGCTTCCTTATCTGTGTACAAAGTGAAGTTCATGCCAACTGCTGTAAGACAGTAATATTTCTGACCTTTTCTGTTCAATTTGACAATACCTGTTTGTAGTCCGTAACTAAATATAATGTAGTACAGTTGCTGCTGGATGTGTGCCGTATGGCTGAATGATTGCTTTCTTCCATCTCTCAAACTCAACAAATATCTAAGTTTTCAGTAGGATGTTGATTGAAGCAGAAAGAGTAAAGTAATTAACAGTGTGTGATTCAGACTGAAAATCAATATAGACTGTATCGAACTAGAAGAGAGTCTGCTAATACTGTAGGTCTGACTCAGCAAGATATGTAAAAAGTGCATCCACTTAACATAAATGTAGCAGAGACCATTTAAAATAATCAATAACTAAAGCATTATTAGGGCCAGGATTACAGGAAATTACAGGAGAGTCATTGAGGTTGGCACCACAAAACATGGAACACAGAGACATACAGGCAAGGAACTAAGTTCAGTATCCTCAGGAGTGGTCTTCAGAGCTACCAGCCCCTTGCAGATGGTCCAGATGTGGAAAAGCCTCCTAAGCTTATGAAAATAAAGAGACAGAAACCAGATGTTCTCCAGAAGCGACCTGTTCTGGGTGTATATCAGTGTGCCAAGACACCAACCTTCACAATTTTTAAGTATAGCAGAACTAAACAGTTATAAGCCCTTGTGGAAATCTGAGATGAGTGGGTTTGTCTGGACTCGCCCAGGTCTGATGGGGTTGAGTCTGTCTTCCAGTTATTTTCTGTTTTCCATTTGTATAAAACCAAAGCCTTCCTGCATTCCTAAGACACTTACAGTACAGTTTAAGCTGAACTAGCTCATGCCATAGAGCTTACTCTGCCATCTGCAGGCTGTGGCAGATGAATAGTTGACAGCTGTGAATCTGTGATGTCTCATAGGCATTGTGGTGGCTCTGCATGCGAACTAAACAAGAGAGTCATGAGCTCCTTTGCATTTGTCATGAAGGTGTCATGAGCTGAGAGTGAACCTGCTACTCTCAGCTACTGCAGAACAAGTAGGAAGTTTGTACCTTTGCTTACCTTTCCCATTACTTGCCTTACATTATTCACATTTACACTTACATGGGCATAGAATTGGATGTTTAAGAGGTGGTTCATTTGAAGGCTGTTGGAGTTACCACTTTGCTTTGCACCTTTCAGCAGTGAGGATGTCAATGTTTGTCACCCTCCAATACGTAGCTGGGACTTCTAGCTTACAATAACCGGTTCTTTTATTCAAGAAGAAGGCATAGCTCTCCTATAAGGATGTTATTTTCAGGAATCAGGAGAAAAATGAGTAAAGTAAAAAAAAAAAAAAAAGAACTATTTGTTAATTGAACAACTACATATAAACAACAGGCCCTTGAGATATATATATCTGCAGAACTATAGTGCTGTGTAACATCAGTCTGTGAAATACCTGGCTGCATTAGACACTCCTATACATGCCAGCAGGTCCTTGTATATAGTATTTGCATTTATTTTTCTATCAGTCAGAAGGGTGCAGTTGAGATGACAATGAACTATTTTGTTTGTTCACATTTAATCATAACCAGCTGGTGGAAAATACAGCTGTGATTTTATGTGGAAAGGAAAGAATCTGCCTTTTGGTAGGACATCCCTGGAATGCCGTGAGCTGGGAGGCAGCAAACACTTCTACCATTAACAAAGGTCTGTAGTTTTGGTTGCACACATTTTGTAGATTTGCACACACATGAGTTTTCATGGCTTCCCTTCCATTTTACAATAATAGTATAATTCAACAGTTTGGGTATTTGAGTGCTCCTGTTTACTGAAGATATTAGCTGTGTTGGGACTCATTGATAGATGCAGGGTATGATCCTGAAGCCAAATGTGTGATTGCATCAATATTGTTCACATACTTTGCAGTGGATGCAGTGTTGCACGAGCAAAAATAATCACATCTCTTTTGCCTAGGTAGGCACCATACGAACTGGAATGCTATGCTTAAAATTATCATGGGTTTTTCCTTCTATCCCTTTGTTCCAGATGGTGCAGCCTGTCAAACTGTCTTAACACACAGTTCCATGAGTGCCAAATGCCAGTGTGTAAGGAAATGAAATGTGCATGAGATTTGGTGACTGATGCTGAGTTTCATAAGCTGTCTGTTCTGTTACTTGGCAAGCCTTGAGACAGCATATCCAAGGCACAGCACGTCCAAGGCACAGCACGACTTTCTGTGGGGTGAGACTTTGCACTGGCTCCCTGGGAAGAAAGCACACTGCACTACTACACACTGGTAGTGCTTGGGAAATCAGGAATACGATGCTGACATGTTCAGTAAGGAGTTGCATTCGCTATGCTCTCGTAGCATCAGTAGTAAAATCTGTATTACCTGAGAAGGCAAGGAAAATCATACGTGAAACGACAGTTAAAGTTGACCATGCTGGTGAGTGTGGGAGGTCCTGGAAGGCTTGTCAGGACTGCCAAAAAGATTGTCTGAACTTGGACACTTATTTATATAAGTGCCTGGAAGAACTCCAAAAGTTCCTTCTCCACAGTCTGGATCCTTCACCATTCTCTCATTGCATCCCCAGCTCTGACACTGAGATCTGATAGTTAAAGCACTGCAGTGCAGTAGCATGCTGGCCACTAGTCCAAGAATTGGTATCCAGATAGATGTTGGAAATGCCAAGTCTGCTGTAGGGTAAGCTGCTACTTTATAGTGTATGGCACTCATCCCGGACAATTCACAGATTGACTGTCCGTCTGCAATAGATGAGAATTCAGTATGTGTATATCATGCATTTAAAAAGGCACAGGAAAGGTTGTCATCTATAAATAACATGATTTGATTTACTGAAGCAAAAATGACATCTATAAATAAGGTAATTTTATTCAGTAGAGCAATTGTGATACAATCTTACAATGTGACTGAGAGCCATTTTTATTGATCACTTCAAATCAATTGTGTTGTTGCATACAAATTGGTACATCACCCAATCACATTTATGACTCCCCTACATCAGTACACATGGAATGTTGCTCTGTATCACTGGATGTTTGTTTAGCCAAGCTAATACCTAATCTGCCTCATTGCTGTGATAATGTGATAGAACAACTCAAAATACTGAAAATGACCAACCTCTACGCTACCTCTTCTGATCCAAGAGCTAGCTGAGGGGTACAGACCTTTTTAAACCACACAAAGATTCATTCTCTTTTCTAAATACTGGATTTTGCAGGAATTAAGTAAAATCTCCACCTTAGGCAAAAACATCTTTTGCCACCACAGAATTTACTTAGAAGTTTCAACTTTCTGTCCTTGAGAAGAGCTGGTAGAATTTGCTACAGAAATCACTTTGCTTCCATGGGCTTTTTGCATCCTCATTTGCCTTTCTAAGGACTCAGTGTAGAAGATCTTGCTTTCTCCAAGTCAACCATCCAAAAATCCTAAGGAAATGAACTTCTCTGGTGTTACTTTAGTAAAGAGAGTGAATGCAACTGCATACTGCCACCAGGAGACAGAGTTCAACACCTCCTCAAATTCGGATGATGCTTCTTTGTACTATTTGCTGGATGAATGGTCTCTCTACCTATCAGGCACAAACGTGAAGATGTTTTTAATCCCTCCAGTTGTCTGCCTCATGGCAGGTGTCCTCATCATTCCTACCATCTTGTCTGTGATCTTCTCTAGGTTTAGCATCCGCCGGGAAACAAGGTACCTGCTGCTGGGAAACGCTCTGCTTTTCGATCTGATCTACCTGTTGTTCTACACCGTGTCATCTGCTCTTAATGCAGCACATGTACCTTTCCCCAAGGAAGCTTGTGTCCTCTTATTGTTTTTGCTGGCAGTGGCTTACTGTGGAGGACTGTTCACAGCTGCTGCAATAGTCTTGGACACGTACATAGCTGTCCTGTTTCCCTTGCGCTACATTGCTATTTTGCCTCCTTCACGAACTAAAAAAGTTATTGTATTAGTATGGGTGTGTGCTGGGGCTTTCCCTGGGATTTTCTTCTTGGTGCTATCGAGTACTCGCAGCTTTGTGCCCTGTGCCCTGGAAATGTGCTCGGTTCCAGTCATATTAATATTAACTCCACATGGGACTGATGCTGTGAAACTCTGTTTCTGGCTTTCTACCACGGTTATCTTTCTCTGCCTGGCTCTTATATTTTGCTGCTACATTACTCTGTATTTTAAAACCAAACAATCAGGTATATGGGAGAGCATCTGCTCCAGAGCCAGTGTAACGTTCTTAATGCACAACACTGTCTTATTTTTTTACTTCTTCCCACTCATGGCCCTATTTGTAGAGTCATTCTTGTGTGTTAATGTTGTCGTCAAACTGAGGGTAGGAATCTGGGTCTCCCTGACAGTCTGCAATGTCCTGATGATTCTGCCTAAAGTTTTGTTCCCTTTTCTGTATGGACTTCGATACAGAGCGATCTCAGCATCTCTCAAATCCGTTGTCAGAAGAGAGCATCTTCGCCTGGTGTTACATGCTCCATCACCATTCTGAGCCAACATAGGGCACAGCCACAGGAGAAGGAGCTGTCCTCACCTTGTTAGCGTGCAAGCCTGACAGAACTCAGCTTCTGAAGAAGTGATCTAAAGAAGAGGTTATCAGTTCATGTCAGAGAAGACGTGGGTTGATGACTCTGCCTCCTTGGTGCCAGAAGACCCCCAGATGTCTCATTCCATCACAGCTGAGAATACAGCGAATGTTACCCTAGATAAAGTTCTAAGCTTTGTTCTGATGTGGGAAGGCAGTATCTTTTGGAGGAGATACTGAATCAAGACCATTTTCACCCACCTGTGTCAGATGCCCTTCTGGAAAATAGGCAGTACAAAGAAAAGGGGGTAACCACAGGTCTATTGACAGCATCACCTACAGCAGAGACTCCTTAACCAAGCGTGCTGGGAACAGAACAGCTATTTCTTTCACTTGCACTTGCAAGGTTGGTAGCCAGTGTCCTGCTCTTTAAAACATACACCCAGAGGTTCCTCTGGAAACTACTGCACTCAGAACACCGTGCTTCATCTTGTACAGTGTGCCTGCGTAATAGCTGCCTTACGGATTCTGACTGGCAACCGGCAAAACACTGAGTTCTTATAAAATCTCAGTCTGATGGGAAGTCACCTTTGATCGGTATCTGCGGGGCAGCCCAGCAGATGATGGTGTGAGGGGCAGTAATAGGGATAGATGTGCTGCTCAGTGAGGGAGGACAAGCTTGAAGCGGTAGGTGGCAGTGCCTTCCTGCAGGGTGCAGGCAGGTGGCTGTGGGCACCCTGGGTCATCCCAGAGCCCTGGCTCCCTCCCTGCTGGGTCTATGCTGATGCAAGCAGGCCAAGGCTGAGCCCAGCTGGGCAGAAGTGTACCCAAAGGCATGACCTGAGATGAGGGACTAAGCATAAACACTGCTTCTGAGTCCCCACAGAGGCATCTCCCAGTTCTGGCTCACATCTCTAGCTGCCTGATCCCAAGTTAAAGCTGCACCTCCATATCAGAGCTCATGTTGGGTATCTGCCACCAAACCCCATGGAAGGTCAGGAGGTGAGGTGGCAGAGCCTGTTGATGTACTGAGGGGCAAGAAAGGTGATACCTTGTTAAAAGCCTTTCAGGTTTTCCAGATCAGCCACCTATCTAAGGAAGATGAGTGAAACATGTCTGATCTTTAAAAATGCCAGAATTTCATTAGACGTAGACATCAGTGTGGGAAATGGAAACTGCAGTGCCATTCCTTGGACTTGAGAAAAGTTTGTATTTCTATAAATAGTATTTTTAGAATGTTACTTTTGTACAAAACATGCACTGGCCTTTAAAAAAAAAAAAAAGGCATTGGAAAATGGTCCTTGATTTCACCCTGTGCAATATTTCCTTGTATGCAGACTCTCTCCACCTTCTGTTTGCTTAAAGCAATATACAGAAAGTGCTGAATGTGGATTTGGGATATTTTACACTCATATGAAGAATGTGAGTCAGGAGGAAAGCGGTGTTTGGTTGCACTAGATGTGTCTGGCTGTGAAGCCTGTTTGAGATGTTCCTGCTGACCTCCTCCTCTCATTCCCAAACTGCTCATTGCTCGCCTTACATTGCAGTGTCTGCTCTCTCCAGTTTGCTGATACAACTGCTTGTGGGGTTGCAGGTTAAAAATACTCCTCCAAAGACAAGTGGTGTTGTTTTTGTTTTGACCAAGATTATCCCAGGGATCTGTTTTAGAGGATGTTCTGCAAACAGCTGCGTCAGCACAACTGAGGGGGTAACAAATTCCAGTTCAGAGGTGGAAATGAGCAGGGACATCTTGGAGGCTTTGCTGCTAAGGTACATTTGCAAAGTAAGAACATCTCTAAGGTAAAGAAAGCTGTTGCAAGTAAACTTTAACATTACATATTTGTTTAACTATGGTTCTGTGCTTCTCAGTCCTCTTCAACAAAACAAATAGGACCTACGAGTTGCTTTTTACTGGCTGCTTTTATTTTTCTCTAAGATGAATGTACCATTGACATATGCCACACAAGGTATGTTTGTGTGAAGACTTCATGACAGGGCTCTTGCATAACACTGAGAAGGATGGGGAGAATGTCTGTATACTGGATTGGGTGCTTTCTGATAAATCCCTTTAGCATGTGGTATGACCAAGACTGGAAGAGGTACCTGCAGATCACCAGGCTGCTCATATCCTGGCCCGAATCTCTGTGACAATACCCATTGACAAAGATGCTGATTAACTTCCAGGTTGTTTTGTCCATGCAGGTTCTTTCAAGCTTTATTACCTGAAGTTACCTATATTGTAAATTTTCATGCTAAGTAGTAAAGATAGCTGTGTAAATAGTGTAAAAGTAAGGTAGTTCTGTATACAGCCATCAGTGACTTTGAATAGTGGCAGGTTAATAGTAGTTGATCTTCCTGCTAACATCCCTCAGTTATGAAGTTAATCTCCAGGGCAGACTCAGGTAGGATTACATTGCAAATTCTGTAACTCTTACAAACACATCCCCTGAATATGTTTAGAGGCAACTAGAAGTTTAGTGACATAAAGAAGGATGCTGAAAGACAGAGGCGATTGTGGCAAGTTTATGTATGTATGAAATCAGTCTACAGTGCTATCATAAGGACCAGGCAAACAAAACACTGCTTTGTGGAAATTGCCGTCTAAGAAAGATGAATAAAATATTCATGTCCTTGAAACTGTGGTGTTTGAAAAAATGGGTGTTTGCCTCGAAAACATACAGGTTGAGCTGAAATGAGTAAACTAAAATGTAATTCTAAAAAGGTCATCTGCAGTGCAAGTTGGTATTTTATTAACCCACTTTAAGGGGGTTTAACATCAGATGGTAAGTTTTTCTTGAGTGATTGCTTGTAGACAACTTCTTCCCTTGGAGTATTACTGCATTGTTTGGTACAAAAGCAGTATGTTACAGCATGCCTAGAAGAAACACACCCTATGCAGGAATCATTTGCCTTGCGGATTTCGCCAGTGTGTCTGAATAGGACCAAAAGAATCACCAGGATGTCACAAGTACCAGGTTGCTATAATTCTGTTCATAAATGTCTTGACTTTGTCTTACAGCTTCTTGGGCTTCTTGATTTGCCAGAACCTCATGGCTGTAAGTGATCAGCAATCTTGTAAGGATGTCTGTCTCCACAAAAGCTCTGGAAATTCAAACTGAGACTATTTACCACAGCCCAGCTATCGATCTCTCCCAGGTCTCATAAGTGAACTTCTTGGATGTCACTGTGCCTGTAGCATTTTAATTTAGAGTGAAATGGAGAGCAGTTGACTTTAACATGTGATTTGGCAGCTGGGGACAGTAATCCTTTAATGAATTGCAATAGCATGAATCACTAAAGGTATTCTAACTTAGAGCCTAAATATATTCCTGGTCAGTTTCCCCCCTCTTTTCTTGTGCCAACATTGTCATTTTGTTCACCACTGCTCTCTTCCCTCTCTCAGTTGGATTTACAGGGCAGTTGACTGCTGTCTGTAACCTGCAGTCTGAAGGGAGTCAGACCTGCATTCCAGGGGCTGGGGCTGTGCCATATAGCACTGGAGAAATAGATCTGCAGTGAGGTCTGTGCCTCACGTAAGATCAGTTTCAGGATCACAAGATACCGCGGCTCTCCAGATAAACAAGCACATGGCTTTGGATTTGGGGCTTAGTCCATTTGCAACTATTTCAGTAATTATTTTGTTAAACTCACTAACCTCCTGCAGTTTTAGTAATTTAATATTAATGGAGAGTCTACTTCTGCTCCATCAACTGGCTGTGGCATTTTCTGAGGGAGGTTTAAGACAGTAATAGATAGAAGGAAAATGGCACTTGCCTGGTTGCACTGGAGGTAGCTCAGAGAATGGCTCTGAGCTGACAGAGGGGAGATTTAGATTAATGATTAGGCAGAAGTTCTTCCCTGTGAGGGTGCTGAGGCACTGGCACAGGGTGCCCAGAGAAGCTGTGGCTGCCCCATCCCTGGCAGTGTTCAAGGCCAGGTTGGACACAGGGGCTTGGAGCAACCTGGTCCAGTGGAAGGTGCCCCTGCTTATGGCAGGAGGTTGGATCTGGATGAGCTTTAAGGTCCCTTCCAACCCAAACCAGTCTGGGATTCTGATTCTGTGAACCCTGGGGCTATGTCCCAGCACTGAGGAACAGCACCACCTGCCCCTGGGAGGGGTTATGCAGCTCCCACAGGGAGTTCTCTGCTTCGCTAGTCTCTGGTTTTGTACACTAAGATACTATCCGTCCTTTGGACAGAAACTGTAATTGTGGCTATTTCCTGTGGGAGGTGGGTAGGAATGACAGATGAGAGAGCCCCTGACAGGAAAAGGAAATTACAAGTTTCCTTGAAACTTGATTTCTGCTGTCTCCTGTCTCCACCCGTACCTCACCTCACTGCTGTTAACTGAGGGCACAGCATGGCCCTCATTCCTGCCATTTTTTTCACAAAGCATCATGATTTTTGGTGTCTTCATAAAACTGCTGACACTGAATGGTTTTGGTTTTCAATATGCTTCTAGCCCTTCAGATCGCAACATGAATCTGAAAGGTACAGAGAGCAGGAGGGGAACAAAAACAACTCTTTCAGCAGCTGCAGTTAAAACATCAGAACTTTTGAGGCTCATGATTTAGGAGAGGGAAAGGAGCCAAGTTGTGGTTCTGCTGTTTCATGTTTGTCAGTGAGGGATGGTCTGGCATGTGCTTGCCCAGGGTCCGCAGGTGTGGCTGGGAAGCATCACAGGAGAGACAAGGGTAGAGTTAAGGATTTGTATTTGGAAGTTTGTTTGGACAATGCTTTGTCCAACTCAGTGGATTATTTTTCTCCAGAAAAAAAAATACAAGATTTATTGCTGACATCATGGGGAGAGAATCAGCAACCAACCCCTGAGGGCTACTGATTTTTAGGATGATGCCCAGTAGGAGGAACTAGTTAGCTTCAGCAGCCGCTATTAGTGGTGAAGATACAGAAATGCAGCTCCTCAAATGGAAACCTTCCCTATTCATCTGCCTTCTGTCCCAACTGAAGTACTGCTGCCGAGCTCAAAGGTGCTGTTCTTCACAGAAACCTTTTGAAATAGAATGCTTCTTTTAGAGGGCATCTCTTCATGTCCTCTCAAAAGTTCAGTGGGGTGGGATAGAAGCAGGAGTGCTGCACCCTGCAGAACAATGGCAACATAAAGAAGGAAGGGGGGGCCTTTACAAACAGTTGAGAAGGAAGGACTGTGGGAAAACTCCAGTAAGAAAATGTGGGCTTGACTGGAATTACAGAAGTGAGTTTCAAAGGGTGGAGCAAATTGCAGAAGAGAGAATTTCTTG